AAAGCGTGATAGCCAAAGGGCTAGAAACGCAATATGCTCTACATCCGTAACAGTGGCTGTCGACCTATCATGGTAATGGTTGATATAGGTGGTATAGGTGGGTTTCGTAGCTGAGAATCCAATCTGATCCTCCGACATTTCCTCCGGGTCGAAATAATCCCCAGTGGGTCGAAGGCCAGTGATGGCAGCCACGTCGAAAAGCGTGGGTGTTAGCATTCCACAAGGAAGGTGGAAAGTGAAATGAGTGTAATCCCAGAAAAGCAAGGAGGCTATCAGCATCTCAGGGGAGTAGTTGAGACCCGTCTTCGACAGCATGACTAGGTCGTATATCCCCAAGTTCTTCTAGATCAAAGTCTGGCTTTTTTCCATCTTCTCCAGCCAAGCGTTGTAGTCAGGTGTGAGGCTAGGGCTAGACCTAAAAGCCCTAACACCCATATTGAAGAAGCGAAGATCTATCTTCTCCTTAGCAGGATCTTCGTTGTCCTCTGCATCTTTTTTAGAGCACCCAACAGGTTTGAGCTTTTCAAGCACTGGAAAGAAGCTCTTGATCTTCATGGCTTCATCGATGCATGGGGATAACGGGCCAGACATGGCGAAGATTTGGTTGGAGTATCCAACCGGAATCATTAGTTGGTGTGAATAAGTTTCACGCTCAGCAGTTTCTAGGGGTTCAGGAACCCTTCGTTGGCCTATAGGGGTAACTACGAGGACAGTTGAGAAGATCTTGGGTTTAGCATTTCTGGAAGGGATGTTAGAACTAGGAGCGGTAGAGGAACATGAGGCTATTGTTGAGTTAAGGTTGAAGATGAAGTGAAGAACAAGGTGTTTGCAAGTTTGCAGAGATTTTGTGTTCAACAAGGAAGTTTGAATGCAGAATAGCGTGAAAAAGTCCCACAATGGGTACTTAGCGCTATTTATAGTGGTTGGAAAATCCCCAAATTCGAGGCCATTTAATGTTGCAGAAGATAGTGGGACACGTGGCGTCCCCCTGTTGACATAGCCGTTCTGCAGAAATGAAAAGGTGCAGCGTGCGCCCTCGTTTTTGGGAAATTGTCATGATGACAATTTGTGAAAAGACATTGGGCACGCTGAACGCCGTACTGAGGTGACGTCTTAGGTACGGATGAAATGATGGCTTTTTCTTGGGATTGTCAGTGGTTGGTAGAAGACAAAAAGTGCACAGGTTAATTTGTGGCTAAGAATGAAAAGACAGGTGTCGAATGGAATTTCAAAGAATGCCTTTTTTCTTTTTCAGAGTCGAAATAAGGCATTCTTGGGGGGCAATTTGTTGACTCCTAAATTCGACATCCTTGTTTTATTAATATAAGCTTTTAAAGCTGAAGAATGGTTTCGACCAGCTGGTTCTGTCGAAATGCTCATCAGAAGATGGCAATGTACTTAGGAAATTTCTTCCAAGGAAGAATTTGGTTGCCTTCGACGTCGAAGGTGCTTCTCGACGAAGGTGTTCGATTGCTCAGAGTGGAACGGCTTGAGATTCAAACGTTTGGAGGGAAAACGGTTCCCAGCGGTTACCAAGTGCAACGTGCCAAGTGGAGTCATCTCGAAGCAGCGTAACTGCCCGACGGTTACTTGGGATGTGTTTAGTATAAATATTAGTAGTTCACGCAGTTTTTCGCGGGTGTTCACAATTATATACAAGTCACTCATATATATTCGAGTACCCAGCGTGAGAGAAAGAATTGTTGAGAATGTATGTGTGAAACACCACTTTAAATTAATCAAAGTCATTTATTTTCCAGAACTTTATTGCTCTTCATTTACTTTTCCAGTCGAAAGCCTTTATTTCAAGCCTTCCTTTATTCTATCAAGTTTTCTTCTTCATGCAATTTACATAAAGCTTATTTATTTTCTTGTCATTTAATCATTATCAAACTTAGTCAAAACCCCAAAATCAACCATGTCTTAGGATCAATCTGATCGATCCTGCGAGTCACCACAAGTAACCTTTTGGAAGATCAGCGGTTGTTTACCAATTCCCACGGTAAACACTCTGCTAGCTGCAGTTGCTAGGAATTTATGCTCCATCATATTTAGTTCAATCTTGAAGGTTCTATTATGAGAATATGAGCTTTCAAGATTAACCTTCCTCCTGCATCAACGACTCTCATCATCTTGTCTTTGACCGACACTTTGTAATTCTTTTCGACCAACTGCCTTATGTTGAGCAAGTTTCTCTTCATACCTGATATGTATATTACGTTGGAAATTACTAACTTTTTGCCATCTTTCCTCATAATCAGAACATCTCTAATACCTTCAGCTTCTAGAGTATTGTCATTTGAAAATTTTACCATGTTCTTCATTGAGGGTTGTATGTTTGACAAACCAATCTTTCCTTCCCGACACGTGTGTTGAGCATCATGAATTCAAGTGCCATTGGTCCTTGAATTTCTCTTCATCTCTTGTTGTGATCATAAGCATCATCTCTTCTTTCTCATACTTTGCAAACTTTACATCGCTTTCTTGATTTTTTCGCTTTTCTGCACAATCACTAGATTAGTGACCATACTTCTGATATATATATATATATATATATATATATATATATATATATATATATATATATATATATATATATATATATATATATATATATATATATATATATATATATATATATATATATATATATATATATATATATATATATATATATATAGAGAGATATTTTCAAAAATAAAAAATTATTTAACTTATAACAGTGATTTACTTCAAAATGGATCAACCCTGACCAAAAATTATTTACTTAGTATACAAAATTATAAAAATTGTCATTTTAAATGGAATGTACCTTGGAAATTATAATTATAAAAAAATCTAAAAATAAAGAGAACACTTGTAATGCATGCATATGTGCTTAGAGTATGGGCATGTGCAGAGGCACAGTGTGGTCCAATGAATTTGGTAACTTTAATGTTTGGTAACTTCAGTGATTTTAGTGTAATTGAAAGGTGTATGAATGATTAAAATAAATTATTTTGATGAAAGATGAGGTTTGGTTTAGAAAGAGACCGAGACAAAATCCCAAACTTACCAAATGTCGAAGTCTCTCAAACTTTTTATGTGGTCTTTGAGAGGAATAGGTATATTTATTGAAAGATATTTCCTGAACTGTCAGTTTATAATAGACAATTTTTCATTCCATCTACATCTTTTAAAATCTGAAAATGCTTTTGAATTTTGTTTGGAGGTATATCTCAATACATATTTTTCATAAAATAAGCAGTAAATTAGTTCAGATATGTATCTTCGAGGATGAATTCGGAGATGCATATTCGAAAATACTCCTGAACCTATTTATTATATATTTTCATTGAAATTGACGTAATTGATGGAGACTCTCAATCGATTTTAATCAATATTAGAGTCATATGAATTGTATCATCGCGTTCTACATCTTGCATTCATGTGTTTCTGCTCTTTACGTGACCTAACGTAAACAATTTGATTTTCTGAAAAATCGACTATGAATCAAAATTTTATCCTGCCAATTCATCAGAAAAAATCAGGGATCAAAGTCTCGTATTTTGAGAAAATGCGAGACACCACCCTCAAAATCCTAAATTCTTTGTTTTTCTATTTTATTTGATTTTTATTTCCCGTTTTCATATTTTCGAAAAAATTCAAAAATATTTGGAGACACTTAATTTAATTTTATTTGATTTTTAACTGTATTTTTAAATTTTTTTATAATTCTATTTTAATCGTTTTTCTATTTTTTAATTGTTTTCCTCAATAGGAAATAGTTGATATTTACATATTTGTTGCATTGTTGATGCATGGCTACTAGTTGTGCCTGGGATACATCAAATACTAAGTTAAAAAAACACAACATAAAATTTTTTGAATATGCATATCCGAATAGACTATTTTTTGTAAAAAAGATAAAGTTTATTCGGAGATACATATTCAAACATACACTTTTTCGTTAAAAAAATAATATTTACTCAGATATGCATCTTCAAAATTAAATATTTTGTAGAAAAAAAATACGATCGATCATGTATCTCCAAAAATATAAAATATTTTTGAAATTTCATCAAAAATCTGTGAGAAAGTCTAAAGGTGCAATGAGAAGGAAGAGAACATATTTTATTGAAAATATTTTTGAAATTTCATCAAAAATCTGTGAGAAAGTCTAAAGGTGCAATGAGAAGGAAGAGAACATATTTTATTGAACTCTCAAAGTTTTGTACGTGGGAGAGAATATATTTATGATTAGAAGATGTACACTATTTCTCAATTTTAGAGCATGAATATGAAAATAGGTATACAAATAGTTATTTAGCTTTTCTTTCCGTAAATATATTTTATTCATAATGTTGATAAAAACTCAAATATTAATTAGTTGTAGAAAAAAAAATGAAAAATATTCTTCAATCATTTTTAGTGGTTATTGTCATAATTAATTTCATTAACCAATTAACTAGTTTAAATAATGCCAGCTCAAATGTAAAATACTAGTAATATTGCATTTTTATAAATAAATTTCATTGACCTTGACAAACAACTTTGTGTAAAATTGAATTGGGTCATATTATAAGAACTTCAATGACTATTTTCACTTTTTTTTATATAAAAATGGTTTGGCTGCAAAACTCATACACTAAACTTTGAAAACTGGAGAATTGTGGGTGCATGCTAAATCCAAATAACTTTGCAGTAATTTCTTTATCATTTGTATGACACGGCATTTTTTTCACACCTTTAATATATCTTAATTGAATTACAATTATAAATGAAAGTAAAAGAAAATTACAAATTACAAATTACAAAATTTTCTCTTTCAATATAGAAAGAGGTTTGATACCTCCACACCATACAAAACTCTTTATGTATGGTATAAACAAATCTATAACCATGTTAAAAAAAATTGTATTGTTAGCATTGTTTAAAAGATTTTAACCAATATTGCTAGCATTATCATCCCAAGTTTTGTTATTATTACACAATAAGTATTCTAAAACTCAACCAAGATTCTAAACACCATGAGTATGTTTAGGTCTTACGCTTTGAGACCCCAATTTCACAGCATTCACTCTAGCCGCAAACCGAAGAGAGCAAAGTGACTCGTCAATTGATGATTGATCCGGTGAGATGTTGACAAACATCAAAGTTTTGGAATCCCCTTCAAGAGATGGCTGTCATCCATAAAATATACTGATTATGGGAGCATTAAATAACAAGTAAAACCATATTGAAAAGTGATAAAATTGATAAGAGCAGACAAATCAATTCATCAATAATTCAAAATTATGAGTTTTGATATACCTGGAGTAGATGTGTGAGTTTTGAATCCCTAAAGGGTACATGATCTTCTTTCTTTGCCAAAGCAAATATGACATTGCTCAAACAGGAGAGACTTTGGTTGATAGCCTGAATATGACAACAATGAAATTAACTAGTTTATTAAAGAAGCTGGAATCATTCCCCAAGAGCTCAAAGATCATAATTGATGCAAGTCAAATAGACACCTGAGCTTCCTTTAATCGGTCTCCGGTGGCCCCACTTCTTGAAAGTCTTTCACTTCCAGCCAAATCGATGAGGTTCAAGACACCTTGTACTTGTTGTTCAGTGTTCTTCAAAATAGAAAAAAATGGATTATGAAATAAAGAATTAGATTAAGTTGCCACAAAAAAATTGTGAAAGTATGCAGGTACCTCGTTTATACCACATATGCGCAGAGTAACCACAAAGTGGCTTCTTGATGACTGTTCATTCATTTGTGTTCTTCCCATTGACCTAATGACCAAAGAGGATAACAATTTCGTCTTTTCATATTTCATAAATAAAAACAAGCTATATTTAGATTCTAGTAGTGACCAAGTAAGTACAAGAGCATATTGTATTTTATATGAAAAATAAACTCAATAAGTTCAAAAAGTGATAGTTTGAAAGGAAATAATATTCATGAAAATGTTGATTCCTTAGGGATGAAAACATGCATTCATTCATCCAAAATGTTGCAGGGTCCTAATATAGACCAAACACAACAATACCTGATTTGGGCAGCCTTTTGCAAGAGGGAGGAAATTTCAGCAGCACTACAAACATCGACAATGGTGAGGTCCAAAACATGTGTGTTTCCATTTTTGTCATGTCTAATAGAATATTGTTTTCCGTGAACACTATTTTCTGCTCGTGTTTGGTCAAACCCACTTGACCGATTTGATAACAAATCTTTGATGGTCTCGTTATATATTTCCAATACTGATACCTAGGAATATGAATATGAAAACCGGGTTCAGCTTCCATTTATGTGACAACATGAAGAAAATCAGAATTGTATTATTATACCAACCTGCATTTTATAATTCCAGCCCTGGTCTTTAACAGACTGACTTGTCTGAAATATCTGTTCTAAGGAAAGTGGTATCATCCCTTTCAGTTCTGGAGCATCCGGTCTACCCACCATTGTGTAGGTTTTTCCTGAACCCGTCTGTCCATAAGCAAAAATGCATACCTAGAATAACAGTGGTCTCTCTTAGATCATAATTTATATCTAGCACAAAACAACAAAAAGAAGCCAAACAATACGTGAAGGAAAACGTAAGCATCTAGTAAGCCATGCCTACAAGGAACAATCCACTCCACTCCCATATGGCACCTCATGACATATAAATGTTTTTTCAAGAAATAAACTGAATTCTTTGTTGTCCAAAGGCACATCTAAGATATCAAACACAAGAAAGTTCGAGGTATTCAAATAAAGTCTCCTATTTAAACAAAATATCATGCCAAGGTTCATAGGAAATAGGAAATATAAACAAATCTAAAGAATATGTACTTTAAGTGTTGATGGTGGAGCTTTTTATAAATGTAAGGCTTTTAAAGGTCGAAATGCAGACCTCAACATAATAAAACTAAAGTAATTGATGATCGTATCCCATAATGAAGTGCATAACCAACGATCATCAACGTTATACATTAAATCGATAAATTACTACTACATATTCAGTAATCATATAATTTAGTTGTGCTACAACTACAAGTGATAATTACAAGAGCACTCAAATTATTTTGTAGGATCATACAAGAATATGCGTGACATTATGAATCAAAATGAGGCAATGAAGAAATACCTTGTAGCCATCGAGCGCACTTTGGACCAGTTGTGATATTTCAGTGAAAACATCATGCTGAGAGGCATCATGATTAAACACCTTGTCAAATGTAAAAAGTTGTTTCTGTCCTGTTAATCGTTGAAGGACAAATTTGTGATACTTGACAAGGCATAAAATTGCATTAAACATGTTGGAATCAATAGACTGGAGTAGGGGTAAAGAAATATGTGTTGTACCATTTTGACCTAACTCAATGCCACGGCCAAGCATTTCTATTGACGTTGGATAAGAAACAACCATATTCATTTCAGAACGATCCTCTCGTAGTAAAGGTCGCACACGACAAAACACACGAATATTTCCTTTCAGCTCCTAGAAATAGAAATAATTGGATGTCTTAGCTCAATAATGTCTTACCGTTAAAAAGAAGATTTAGATAATTTAAAAAGTAAAAATTAAAAAAAAAACAATAAAAAAAAAACATTACCAATATAGTGTTGTGCAGTTTTTTTCTTAACTTTTCCCCTTCAACTACTTGAAATTCTTTATCTGCCAACTGATCTTGTAGTTCACGAATGATACTTTGTTTCTCTTCAAACATTTCTCTTGCTTTCAAAGCAGATAAATCAGCCATCTGGCCAGAAAGAAAATATAAGTTAGTGTCAGTTTTGAAGATAATCTTTAAAAGCAAAAATAATCATAAACCATTTATCCATTTATTTTCAAGAAATTCTTAATAATGGTAATAACTACTCCATATTAAAAATAAAACACAATTGGATTACCTCTAACTTCTCCCTTTCATCGCATAACTTTTTCTCCAGTAAAGTAATTTTCTCCTTTTGAGAGGAACAAGTATTCTGTAAAGGAAACACAATATTGTATAAATCTAATGAACACAGTGCACAAATAATAAAAAATGATATTATCAAGTACGACGACAAAATAAAACAACCAACCTCTAGTGCCTCTGTTTTACTTGCCAATTTATCCAATTTTGAAAATGTTTCATACTTAAATTTTATGTATTTTTCCCGTTCTAACATTACAGCATTTAGTTGTCCTTGTAGGCGATCACGATCATCCATTATTTTTTTTAGTTCTTCACGGAGACATATAACTTCGTTTGCTAACATTTCTTTATGCTTTATAGCTTCACTATGTGAATCCTGAAAGAGAAAAAAGGGAGCAATGCAACACAAAAAACATAAGAGGCTTACAACGAAAATGGGGAAAGGGGATTGAATACAGAATGATAGCAATATTGGTTATTTTCTCTCCGTAACAATATTACTTATGCGAATTATTAAACAAGTCGAATTCAAGTCTTGAAAAGGAGAACTAGCAATGAATATACGAACGAGCAATGCCTAGTATTTTCCAGCTATTCCCGTTTATTGATTCTTTAACAAAGCAGCAAAAATTTTCATAAGGTACCATCTACGTTTTCTTGATTTGGAGGGTTTTAAAATGTTGATGTCATAGAACACAATCAACACAATCAACCAAGAAATATCATATCGAAACAACTTACTTTAAGAGATTTCAATCGATCCTGCAATTCCTTATTAAGATCTTTTGTAGCATTAAGGCTCTCAACAATGATTGTTTTCTCCATGTCAAGTCGTCTATAAGCCTCATTAGCTGATTTCAAATCTGATTGAAGACTACTATTGCACTGCTGTAGTTTCATATTATCATCAATTGCTACCTACTTGTCAACCCACCAAAAATCACACCATCAGGAAACACATAAACATCACTTGAGAGATATTTTCAATCACTATGCTAGCATAGAAACTTACCAACTTTTCTGACTTTTCCTTTGCATTTATCTCTTCTAAGGAAGAAATTGTGTTTCTCATATTGGATATAGTATCGCTCAGCTCCACATTTTTGTTCTCCATCTCAATCTCTGAGAATATAGCAATGTGTGATGATTAAATAATTATTATCTTGTCTTCGATTCTTTTGTTTGAATCCAAAGATAATAAATACTTTTTGGGGTGATAAACAAACAAATATTTACACAATCCCTACAGAACTACATTATATATTTCACTGTTTTATAAGTAAATTTCTTCCTCTTAATCTATTCACATTCTTAATTAATTCATTCACAATTGCTAGTAGCACATCATACAATAATGGATATCAGCCTTTTTTTTCCTAACCCACATAAGAAGCGAGAAATGGAAAATGCAGCAACCTAGTCAATCATAATTTTGGTATTTTGAAAGAAAACATCTCAACACAGTTTCATCAACCGCAAAAGACAGAAGCAAGGAAATACCGGTATCACAACACTTTTTAACAGCAGACTCTACTTCAGAATGCAGTTTTTCATTTTCATTGAAGCACCATCGAACACAAATCTTAAGCCGCTTAATAAGATCCACCATCTGGTCCATTTTTTTCTGCACAGCAAAAAAATATAAAACCATTCAAAACCCAAATAAGCTCCATAAACAAAAACAATTTTCTTAAATTAAAAAGTGGATTAGAAAAATTAACAAAAATCAGCAAAACCTTGTAATCAAGAGCACTCATCCCCTTTTTCATCTTTTCATTAAGCAATGCCTCTATATCCTCTTTAGTGAACTCAATCGTGTTAGATTCCGTTCCCTCTGTGTTGCTGGTACTGGCATTGTTCACCACTGCAGTTAACGGTGCCCTGGCTCTCCCCATCTTTTCAGCTTCAATTTCTTCAGCACTACCCGTTTTCTGAAACCAGAAACAGTTAAAGACACTCTTCAATCCGTGGACTGATTGATTCAGCATTTGAATCGAAAATAAAAACTCGAGAAAAGGCTTACATCCGGGTGATTCCGCGGAGGCTTGTTCTGATTCCGAGGAGCCATCTGTAAAATTCTTTAAGCTTATTTATTCAAAAATCAAAATTAAGCGTATAGATTTATATTTGGGGAGAATTTCTTAGAAGTTGAATTATTCTATAATTTCATTGTAATTCATCAACTATAGAATCTACATAATGAATTACCGAAGAATCATAGCGAGATGCAATAATGGTATCGTACCTTCTAACGGAGTGAGGGCAACGACAGAGCCGCTGTTGAAGTTCTGAGGTTGACGAGCACTTAGGGTTAACGAAGGTGGAATCAGAAGAGACGGGAGTGTGAAATTGGGGATTTTGACGTCAATAATGCTGCAGTGTTTTTCAAAATGGGATTTTGAATCCAACGGTCTTTTTTTATATTAAAAATTTTAAAATGTCATTATTTATGAAAATGATACTAAATAATTGTATTTTTTTTATTTGTTTTTCTTTCTTTAATATTTTTATAAGGATTTATAGAAGAGAGTATTAGGAATACTTTAACCCATTTATAAAAAACCGCGAGTATAATTTGGAAAATAAAAGATTTTCAAGTAATTGAAAATTAATCTAAATAGTACAAAAAATCTTTGTAGAATTCGTAAAAGTTATAATTGATAGTAGAAATATTATCGATACAAGACCATTTCCAAACCTTTAATTTGATATTTCAGCTTAAATCAGTTACACGAGCACTAGCACCGTTAAAGATAACCTCATTCTGTAAAATCAGATATCCCACGACACCGTCAACCAAATAGAACTATCTTTGTCTTTCTTCACTCATTTCTTCCTACATTCATATAGTCAAAAGCGTAAACAATTCCAAATATTCCTTCCAAGCTCTGAACAAAAACCAAACCAAATGAAAATATCTTTCCATATCAACTTAGAAAAAGAACATTCCAGGAAAATATGGTTTATAGTTTCAAAGAAGCTCAGATTTTGACTGATTCTAGTTTAATCAGTCAGAACAAAATACACAAAGAAGCTCATTAAAGATAAAATAATGCCCCTACGATACAAAAGATCCCTAAACGAAAATTTATTCAACAAACATCTGCACCCGAAGGCTTTAATCCTAAAAGGAACATGAGATTTCCAAATAGAATCTAAAACCGAGAGCGTACCTTCCTCTATATCTGGAATATTGAGAAAACTGGACAACATTACATAACCACTTTTAGTTGAATGTAAACCAAATCCAGTTTCCAAGCTACTACGTCAACTAAGTTTCTGTCCGAACAAACTGCAGCAAGACGAGACTGCAACTCTTGAAGGTTGGACTATACTGCTGAGTTGGAATCATCAAGAACACCAAAATTGCTTCACTCTCAACCGTTTACAGACCAGCTCCCCATACAATCCACACATGCATCCTTCAAAGAACTCCTCTTGTATAATTCAGGAAAATCCACCATCAAGCGACCTTCATTGTTCCAAAGAGCACTCCAAAATGGGATATTTGTTCTGCTGCCCAAACAAAAAATGCAATTCTGGGATAACACAAGAACAGTAAATTTCGATTCCAAGGACAAAATAGCTGTCCACCAAGTAGATTTTGGCTTACTCGTGATTAAACTAGAATCAGTCAGAATCTGATGCTTCAAGTTCCTGTATCTAGCCATCAAAATATCCGACCAAAGAGAATTAGCCCGCAACAGAATCTTCCAATTCCATATAAATAGTAAATCCTAATTGAATTCTTTGATGCTCTTGAAACCTAACCCACCTTTCTCAAAAGGTAAACAAAGAAACTCCCACTGAATCCAGTGGATCTTCCTTTTATCGGATGTACCTCCCCAAAGAAATTTGTTTTTTATCTTCTCAATTTCTTTGTAAATCTTCACTAGAGCTTTAAAGAAGGAAAGTTGGAAAATAGATAGGCTGGAGAAAACCGGTATAATCCAAGCGATTCTTTCACCTAAACCGAGGAACTTTCCTTTCCAAACGACAAGACGATCTTTAATCTTCGAAATCAACGAATTCCACAAGGAAACCCTTCTTGGATTAGATCCAATTAGGATTTTAAGAAAAGAAAAGGAATTGTCTTCTAACTTCAAGAGAGAAAATTAGTCGCAACCAGAAGAAAATGTAGACTCAAGTTAATACCGATGAGCCTACTTTTATGAAATTTAACACCGAGACTCGACACGACTTCAAACCCTCTCAATACTTCCTTAAGTGTACACACCTACTTCCAATTACCATTCCCCACTAAAAGAGTGTCATATGAAAATGATCCTGACATAATATGACATCCAGTATACTACCTGTGATACAGTGGCAGAACCGACTGTTTTTACTGGTTTGTGTTTTGCGTTTTTTGTTTGCAAAATGTCGCGGTAAGCAAGAGTCGCCACCGACTTTTATTTCATCTAATCATGGAAAAGGAAAAAGAATAGAAAAAAACTTTTTTCGACATATTCTGAGTACGGGGGGGGGGGGGGGGGGGGGGTAGATTATAGAAAGGGAAGGTGTTAGCACCCTTTCTATCCATGGTTTTCCATGGGCTCTTAGGTACTTTCTCATTTTTCAAATTGCTTGTGTGTGTTTATCTTGAAAATGTTTTACTTCGTGATAACCCTTGTATCAGTCCTCAAGGATGTGACGAAGTTTGTTTTAAAAATTTGTTTTGAAAGGTATTTGTGTGAAAAAATTTTTGTTTGTTTGAGCAAGTACCTAGGAACTAATCTACTACTCAAAAAAGATTGTTCGTTCTCGTTTCCTTTTGACAGCGCTATCCTACTATTAAGGAGTAGGTAACACCGTCATTGGAGTTGTAAGGGACATTCGAAAGGGACAAGTATAGTCACCAAAGCAACAGTTAGAAAACTTTAGTAGTAACCCTAGAGTCTTAAGATCTTTCTGAGGCAACATTTCCGAGGCAACATTTCCGAGGCAACATTTCTGAGGCAACATTACCGAGGCAACATTCGAATGGGACAATTTGATCTTTTTAGACTGGAGGGCAACCACTAAAATCTTCTATGCTTAATGATTGTTTACTGAAGGAAACCGAAGTGAGGTAAACCCTAGGAGTGAATATGTGCATATAAATTGTTTCAGTTATTTAATCTTTGCACATTAGGTGATCTACCATTTTAATTTCCAGATATTCTTGCCATACAATCCTATTAGCATACATCTAGACAGTTAAATATTTGCAGGAATTTAAAGGTGCGAGAAAATAAACCTAACTATTACAAGGCTTCGGGGGATGGGGATTAATTTACATAACCAAAGAATTAGGGATTAAAGCAGTAAATAAAACCCTAGTTTAACTATTACAAACCCTTGGCAGTTACAAAAATAATGGAAAAGAAATAATTAAATGCGCGGAAAATTAAATACGAGGGATGTTGAAAAATAACCTAAACCCTAATTGAAAGAAAAAAGATTTTTGTATATTTTTTATTGGAGAAAACAATGAAATTGCAAATTAAATAAGACCCTAATTTCTAATTTCTTTTTAATTATGAAAAAGTATTTAATTTAACCTAATTAATCTAATTAATTAAAATAAATATTTTAATGAAAAAAAATGATTTTGGTGTATTTTTAAAGAAAATTAATTAAATTATATACAATTCAAATCCTAAGTCTAATTATTTTTAATTATAAAAAGAGATTAAATTGCCCTAAGTCAATTAAACTAAATTAATTAAGAAATAAAATATTTTCATTAAAAAAAAAGATTTTTGTAGTTTGTTGTGATTTTTTTGATTAAAAAAGAAAAATGATTTTTGTGTTAATTAATTAAAACAAATAAAGGAAATTAATTAAAGAAATTAAAAAAAGAAATAGAAAGAAAATGCAAACTGAGCCTGTATGCTAGCAAAGGGGGGGGGGGGGTGCCAATCTGAATTCTTCAGGCCCAAAACACTTCAAGCCTGGTCAGCATTAGATTCCTTGTAGCGTTGACCCGAGGGCGTATCATAGTCCCTCACTGCTGGAGCGTTGGATCTGATTGATCCTAGATCCACTGGTTGGATATTACTAGCACATGGTGGACGCTTGAGAGAATGAAGTACCTGATTTGTAAAGGAAAAATAGAACAAAGAAAATTGTTGGGACCTGAGATCGAACCCAGGTCCTCATACTCACCACCAACACGCCCAACCACTAGGCTATCGTGTTCAGTTGTTATTATAATGAAAACACAATATAATATATGAAACAAAGTGGTTAGTGGGAGAAAAAAACCCCGCGTTGGTTTGAATGGGCGAATGGTTGGCTGACACTTAACCTTCTTCTACCTTTCTCTGTCGCCTTAGGTGTTTAGACCTTTACCTACGGACAAAGGTCTGTAGCTACAAACCTGTAAAACTCAAGAATCCACAACACGCAAGATAAATGAAATCTAACCATATAAATCAACTCGTTTTGATCTTGTGAATATCATGATACCCTTCTTTTTGCCCAATTTAACCTGTAGAATAAACCCCTAAACTGCACATGCAAACCCTAACGATGGAAAAGGCACATACAGGCGTTAAAAATTCAATTGAATCATGCAGTTAGCTTGCAAACATGTCAAAGATTACAAATATATCAATTAAACGTGCTAATGATGCAGGAATTATGATAATCGATTTTGAAAAAATTGCAAACCGTGTGAGTTACAACTTGCGTTTCTTGAGGATCCAGACCTTGCAAACGATTGGGATGGCTTCCTGAAACGTCCAACAATTGATTGGTGGTGCTAGGATGACTTGAGATGTCCTGTGGAGTGAAAACCGATTCACACTTTTCTTTGAATTTTTTGAATTTGCTCTGCCTCTTTCACGATTGCTAACCCTTATGCCATGCTTTGTTCTTGTCCAATATATATCTAGGAATGCATTAGGGTTACAAACTTGGATTGAATCTTTGCAATTATGAGATATTTAATTTGACTTTCATGCTACATATAAACTTGCTATTTTGATCCAAATCATCCCTTTCTTGTACCAATTATGCTTGATTCGTTTTGGCCTTGATAATTCAGCATATTTTGATTGCCAACCTGTTCAAAAACCAAAT